AAAAAAAAAAAAGAAAAAAAAGAAACAGACAAACAGAAGTTAGAAACGTTCAAGAAAATGAACGAAGCTGGTGTTCGAGAACTAAAAAAAAATCGATACTTTTTGCTACTTGAAACGGTTCGGGGCGCCTTAGGTAGCGAACCCAAGTTTGGTTGGAGGATAAAAAGTTTGTCGAGGTGTTCCATTTACCGTCACGCTTGTGATCCACATCACCGGGTCGTTTCTTGTGAACCGGGGCGGGTCCTGTAGGGGCGATACCCTGCTTAAGAGCTCCCATGCTGAGAGACTTTCTAGGTGGTCCGGTCGTACCTGCAGGAACTCCCGCGGCCGTGACTCCCGGTGCCACTGTCTCGCCGTTCGTTAGCTGAGGTCTTCTAGGCCAGGCGAACTGCAGCCGATACTCGGTGCTGATCCGCGAGATCGCTTTGCTCAATTGACTCGGTGGCAAGCCCGACTGCGTTGTAACTTCCTGCGGTTCACAAGTTTTGCAATTTTACTCCTTTGAAGAGGGGAAGATCGTCTGTTCCTTGCAACAGTTTCTTTCTGGACAGCAAGTCCAAGTTCCGAGTTAAGTTGACAATTAGTTTCTGAGACATGAAGGGACAAAAAAGCTATTCTTTGCCACTAAGTACTATGACCTGCGCTTCGATTCGTAAATACAACAGCGGTCAAAAGTTTAAGACGACTGCCTTTTTTTGACAAGACTGATATTTTTTCAACTATTATAATTTTTTTTTTTTAAGAAAGAACGTACAATGATCTGATTGGACACATTTTAAAGCGTAATTTCTATATTTTGTGATTCATTTCTTTTAAAGATGTTTTTGTTTCATCTAGAGGGTGGAAAGATAAAGATGAGATTTCTTTCTCACAATCAGAGATTGTAAAAATTTAGACGTTTCTAAAAATTTTATCGTAATCAGGTTGATCCTGTTCTACAATTTGCCTCTCTTCAGAACTTGCTATACTTTTTACTGAACTATAGACGTAAAACTAAATGACGTATAATCGTTCAACGTATAATATTCAATTCCCTAACTAATATTAATATTCTCTAATATTCAAAGTCTAATAAAATGGCGTACCGAAAAGATCGTACCAAAAGTTTCAAGACTTTAATTTTCAATTTTGTTAAATCTAAAATAAAAAATGAAATTCAAATAGTAATTCAACAATTGATAAATATTAAATTAAATTACATTATGAATTTTGAAAATTCACGTTCAAATTCGTCGTCGTAACAAAATCCCCGAGGAGTTTTTTCAAATTATCCGAGTAGCATCAAAAAATCGAAGGTGAACTTCTTCGACCTTTCATTTCCCAGAAACCAACCCTTCAACTTGAAAACTCCCAAAGACTGATTATTTGGTAAATTTAGTTGCAAAATCGAGTGACCAAACTAAATACCAAACTTGTCTCGTAAACAAGTCAAATATGTATTCAATGGCTACGATTTCGCATGGAATTCGCGAGGAACGTGTGTAAGAAAAGAGCATTCGTACGGGGGTGGGTTACGGGACTACGCGTTTGCGACAATGTGCATCCGAGAAACAGGTCAGGCGAGAGGAAACTCGATGATGATGACTTGTTGACAAAGAACTCGTTGGAAGTGGTGGCCTGCAGGCTACGCGTTGGAAGAAACTTTGAATAACCTTTTATGATTCCGTCAACGTCGCTTCTACTTCCTCCTCCCCTCCCGCCCTTTTCTTAATCGTTTATTAAAAACATGGACGAACTGATCATGTTCATCGTTTATCGATTTACGACAATCTGTTCGTCGAATGACGAAACTTATCGGCTTATTGGTTTCCAACTTCGGTCGTGTTTAAACAGTTAAAAAAAAAAAAAAAAAAAAAAAAAAGAAACGCTCGCAGGCTTGTGGATATTTGCACGTACCCGAACTTTGTCAGCTACGACGTTCGAATCGACGGCATCGATGCCACCTCCATCGGCCGCCGTGATGAACTCGTGCGTCTTGTACGCGAGCTCCGGGCATTTCTTCCGTCGTGGCAACGGCGGTTCCAAAGTGGGCCCTGAAACGAATCATCGTGGCTGCTTGAGATCTTTCGTCTTAGGTCTTATCTAAAACATCGTCTTTCGTTTGAACACGAAAAAAAAAAAAAAAAGGAGAGACTACACACTTCGTCCGTTCTCGACCGTTTTCCTTCTTGCCAGGAAAGACCGGGAAGAAATCATTCGATTTCCATCAAAAAAACGACACGATTTTCTTTCTTGTTTTTTTTTTTTTGTACGATCGTTCTACAAACCGATTCGTTTGTGTTTCTCTTTTCCTTTTCCCGCAGCAATTTCGCTGCGGTGAGAGAAGGTCTCGAGTGGTCAGGAGAGAGGGACTCGAGGCTCTCTCCGTTCCAGAGGACGGAAATCGATTTCTGATTAATCAAGTGGTAATTAAACAACGGTGGAGAACGGTTGCAACGGTGTCGCGGGGGAAACGAACTTATATATAAACACGAAGAGGCGAACATCTCGAGGCGAAAACATATATAGAACAAGCGGGAAGCAATGCTACATCTCGCCGTGTGTATATGTATTTGCACGCACGCGCGTGTACGCCACACATAGAAAGAAATTCAGAAAGTCAGAAAGAAAGAAAGAAAAAAGCGTTTCTCTAGAAGAAGAAGAAGAAGAAGAAGAAGAAGAAGAAAAAGAAGAAGAAAAAGAAGAAGAAGAAGCAGGAAAGAAGAAAAAGAAATTAGAGTCGTTCTCTCTTCTCTCTTTTTCTCTTTCGCTTTTCTATTTTTTTTTTTCCGAGGCGACATGTCCAGACCGTAAGTCATCCAAACAGGCGTTGTCCGCTCTCTTTACCAACGCTTTGGTAAATTAGCTCTCTATATTCTCAGGCTAGCCGCCTGACTGGAACAGTAGCTGGAAGTGGTACCTCTGCACTCGAGGCTCGAACGCGAGGAATTGCACTGAAAGACGATTATAAGCGACACAAAAGCGTAAGAAAGCGTCTCGAGTGGCTCGTAGTTTCGCGAAACGTTGCTTTTGTGAACCCCTCGGGGGATGGGTGTTCCCCTCTCGGTCCTCTCGAGTCCTCCGGAGGCAAGGGAGAGAGACCTCGCGTCGCTTCTGCCGCGATTTCCACACCGTGTCGCGTCTCGTCGCGTTTCTCGCGACGTGTCGCGGCACAACAACTGCGTTTCCATCGTGTTGCCTCATTGTCGACGCGTCGCGCGGTGAATTAAGGTCAACGGAAATTGGATTCCAAAGAGGCGGCGTTGAAATCGCCGACCGGGGGATTGAAAGCAGGTCTGGGCAAATTTCGCTCGAAACAGAGGCAAAGAACGACGAACGATTTGAAACGCGATGGTTTCACATTAATTCTTCGTTTTTTTTCATTTGTCGGGGAGACAAGTCGTTTTATCAAATAAATCGTTTCACCTGAGTTGAATTCATTGAAGCATGAAGTAACACGTAATCCTAGAGAGTACAAAGCGAGCTTTTGTTTAGAGAGTTAAACGGAGAGCTTCTATTAATATTAAACGAGCGTAAGCGTAAGTAAACTAGTTGTTGGTAGTAATTCCAGATTCTAGAACTCGTGCTCATTCTCAGATGTGTCTGAGCTTGCGAGAATTACAATTTCTGCTATTCGAGAAATTATTTGCGAATAAACTAACTTCGTTGCTCGAATAAA